AAATACCCGGAGAGACACACATACACACACACACACACGCACATGCACACACACACACACACACACACACACTGAAGTCACAATATGGGTTTCTGCATCTGCATATATGCAAAAACGCATAAGGATGGAAAAAGATATTTCAAACAAAAATTGAATAAATCTAAAACTCTTTATTCAGAAGGAAATACGAACCATTGATAACTTCTTGGCGCTTCTTCTCTTTTGGTTTCAGCCGCCGTACAACCTCCCAACCAACAAAACTTTCCAAAGGAGGTACTTCCGTTTCGACCTGCAATTAACTCTCCGTTACAACTGTTCCTCAAAGTAACAGTACAAGTAGTATTGCTAAAAATATTATGCTCCAAGTGCAATCACATCATGTGAAGCTTATAGCAGGCAGAGAACAGGAACTGGCAACTGAGCGGTAGGAAACGGTCAGTCGGTGTGTAGTGGACATGACAGGTGAAGATAATTATTCAAGAACAGCGAGGATCTGCTAAGTACGGTGGCTGTATCTCCAAAAATTCTTTTCAAATTTCACCCCTTGAAAACGGAGTGCAGAAGGCATCCGCTACAGACCTAATGATGGCACAGCTAGCAATTTATATGACTGCTTTGGTATCAAACAACCATGACACGTATGGCAATACCAGTTTGCCGCTTCTCATAAAGCTGTTTCGAAGCAGCTGGTGAAAGTGTGAACGGATGCCACGGGCCGCTGCGTTATATTTCGGCATACCACAAGTTTTTAGCGATGAAAATAACCTCTAAATCACTATCGGCATCAACCAGCGCATTTTTTTCAATCCTGTCCAGTAACCGACGGACTTCTTCTTCACCTCCGGATGCGTGCGATACTGATGAACTTCCTGGAATTTAGCAAAATATCCAGAGAAGTTGCCAAAAATGAAGCTGCCTTAACTCGCTCAACAACTGTCATCTTGAATATTTTTACAAAACCTACAATCAAAACACGGCAGACGGTGGAAATGTCTTCAAGTCTCTTCAGGAAAAGTATGTCAAATTCATTTTTATGTCGGAATTTTTTTGTATGACCTTTCATTTTTATGCGTTTTTTGCAGCAATGCAATGCGAAAAACGTATATTGACGAGAGGTTCTCTGTGTGTGTGTGTGTCTGTGTGTGTGTCTGTGTGTCTGTGTTTCCATGTGTCCATGTGTGCGTCTGTCACGGTTTTTCATCTCAAGACCTACAAAAGCTACGGGGCTGAAATTTTAGGGACTTAGTCTACATGCACGTACGGGCCCCAATCCCCCAAAATTGGCGCCATACCCCGCGTGGTACCCGCGTACGGGCCCCCCAAAGTTTTTTTCGAGCAAGTTCTTAACTCGGGGATCTGAAAAGCTAGAAAGCTGAAATTTTAAGGGATTGTTCCCCGTCCGAGTAGGTACTAATGAGCACAAATCCAGCCCCCGGGTAAGCGTGGTACCCGCGTACGGGCCCCCCAAAGTTTTTTTCGAGCAAGTTCATAACTCGGGGATCTGAAAAGCTAGAAAGCTGAAATTTTGGGGGAATGTTCCCCGTCCAAGCAGGTAATAATGAGCTCAAATCCAGCCCCTGGGTAAGCGTGGTACCCGCGTGCGAGTCTGCCAAAATTTTCTCGGGTAAGTCCATAACTCGGGGATCTGTGAAGCTAGAGAGCTGAAATCTTAGGGGGTGTT